TTAAAAAAAACACGTTTGAAAACCCCCCACATATTTGTGGATCTGGAAAAAAAAAAAACAAAACGTGAAAATATTTCCATTTTATCACGTTAAAATGTGATGATAGATTTGACATCCGGTTCACGTGACTGACCGATCGAGATACGCAACGACGGATGATAGGCTATCGCGTTAAAACGTGATCTTCGCCATTTTAAAATACGATAAGTTCCATGCTAAAATGTGACAATTACTCCAGTTTAGTGTCATTTTTTTTCACCTTAAAATGTGATGTTTGACTTCCGGTTCACGTTTTTTATGATGCTATAATAAAATGATATACAGCACATGATCAATTTCATGTTGAAAATGAGAAATTATCACATTTTAACGAGAACATTTCCTAATTTTAACATGAAATTGATCGCGTTTTGTGAAATCATTGTATCTCATCATTTTAAAACCAGTTGTGGTAAATCGACTCCCTCTTGTGGTAAGCAATAGAATCGTTAATTGAACTGATCAAACTGCATGTTGTTTCAACAGTTCGAAATTTAAAAAAAATCCAGCCCAACGCATGTTTTTTGTGTACATTTCAGGTGTATTTTACTTTCAAATCCAATAGATTAGATTTTATTTTGTAATTGAATCTAAAGAAGCAGGTGCATTTCAGAAGCCGTTTTATAATAATTTGGTATTGTTCTTTATCTTGTTTTCACTTTTGCTTTGTTTTTTTAGAACCAGTTTGTTAGTTTGTAATTGTTTTAATTTTTCTGTAAGTGCTTTTTTAAGTTTAATTTTTATTGGTTTTAGTATTAGTTTTAGTTTTTTTAAAATGATGGAGTATTTGTTCAGTGCAAGATTTTAAAAAAGTATTCTGTAATAAAGTAAACCACAACTCTCAAACGACTGTTTCGTTTCCCTCTCCCCAATACCAAAATAAAAAACAAACCCCAAAAGCTGATATTGATTACAAAAAGGATAACAAAGGATAATTTCGCTTCGATTACAGTGAATTTTACTTAGGTACATGCACAATTTTTTGTTATTTTCAAAGCATTTTTGATGATATTTTATTTCATTCGGGAATTTTTTTCTAATTATCTTGCTTGTTTTCGTGAACTCCAATAACCTTGCTTGGAATCATCATGTGCAATACACTTGAATTGAATCATATTACGTCGATTTTTTTTCGTATTTAATCACAGTGTTAATGTTCCATAAGCGTTACAATGACTTACAATAAGACACTTTTAATGTTCTTTTTTTCCTGGTGAACAGGCCTATGTATTTCAATGGTGCTCAGCATTTTTGATTAGATTTATTGATTTCTTTTTTTCGCCCATCGAACAAATAGAATAATGTGAATTTAGAGGGATGCTGCACCCTTTTTTTCAATGCCTTTGTCCATCCCTCCCATTTGTGCTTTTTCTTTTTTTTTTTTTTTTGGCACGCAGCATCAGGTTTGCAGCGTCCGTGTTGTCCGACGTCCATTCGAGCGTGCTCGTCAAGGTAAAGCCTGTCCGAAGTGCAGTCTTGTCTGTTTGCAGAGAGCAAAAGAGGCGGAAAATCAAGCAAGACGTGAACTGGTTTCCATGTCAAACACTTCAATTCACCATAGAAACTCAGATCTTAACGCGGCGACTTTATTAAACTGTGATGGCGGATTGATAAGGGCCCAATTTCTATCGCCCTTGCTCGCGTTTTTTTTTTTTTTATTGTGGGCGCCAAGGCGGTCTGACAGAGGTAAATTGCTCTTTTAATTAAAGCAATGCAGCAGAGGAAATTGCTGTCTGAATATTGTCTCCGAGATGGGGGCGCCCGCTGACAGTTGCCTGGAAACTTCAATCTGTCCACTCGCGTTTATTCCAGATCCCAGTTATGAGATAAAGTTTAATAAAAAATCCCCCCGTTTTCCTCCGCCTGCAGCAAGCAAATGAAAGCCAAGCCTTTTGTGCACAAGTGAGCACAATGAGAAGGGAGAGCGGAGGAAAGCTCGTGTTCAACATGTTCCTCTCAGGTGCGTCGCTTTGGGCCCTAAACGGGAGTTGTTTTTCTTTTTTTTGAATACAGAAGCGTCGGGGCGGGCGACGTTTTCCATCCGTTGCGCGGCTTTCCGCTCCCGCGAGCTGTGGGTCGCCTTCTTTTCAATCTGCGAGCTCGTGCGCTCTTTTGTCGGAAATCGGAAATCCGTCTTCCTGGACGCGTTTCCTGGCTCCTCCGAGGAGCCGGACCCGCCCGGACCAGCGCCACCAAGACCTCACTGAGCACCACCGGCAGCACTTTCGTCACACGAAGCGAATTCTCGCACGATGACGACGTTTCGTTAGGACAGACTTTTTGGGTTTTCTTGTGTCTGTCGCGAACGCGGAAATCCGTCAGCTTGAAGTGATTTCTTGGAATTGACTTTTAGTTTTTTTCCCCTTTTCCGATTTCAGATCCGACAGAAAATCTGTTGAAAGACAACAAAGGAGCATCCTGGGGTCCGATCAATACCGGAGCACAAAAAGGTGAGGACCCTTTCAAATACGATACCAACATAAATAGATGATACCGTCGCCTCTATCAAAAAATATATCAACAAATGGATTTTATTTCGTGAAGCTCAGCAGGTCTTCGCCATTTTTCTACATCGTCACACTTGAACATGCGGAATGCTTTGCATTTCTGTGTTCTCTTTCATTTTGTGTGTTCGCAGGCTGAGATTTGTCAAATCATTATTTTCACGGAGAGAGAATAAAAAAAGAAATTTCTATTTTGGACTTTCAGAAAACAATCCCGAGAATAACGCCAGGCGCACAAAAGGCAATGATGTTTAAGGGGATGAAAAATAAGTTCATATTTGGAGCTGATCATATTTTCCATATGGAAAAAAATAAAATACAGTTATGATAAAAAACTATCGATGAATAATTGCTTCCGATATTTTAGGTAATAAAATACAATGCAATAAAAATAGAAAAATGTTAAGATCAATGAAGACAGTTGATTTGTTGTGATTTCATTTCAGAAAAGGTGGCAGAAAATACAACGGCAGAAATGAAAATGAACAAGAACAAATATTTTAATTGAATTCCAAGAATAGAAAGTTATTTCACACATCTAACTCAAGGCCAAATAAAATCCAATGAGGCTTTTGTCTTTTTTCCCCAAAATAATTCACCCAGAAAAAAAGGACAACATTTAAAAGGAAAAATAAAAACAATTTCATAAGAATAAGAAAAACAGCAAAAATAATTGTACTTTTAGACTAAGGATAACAAACACCTATGTGATTAAATAAAATGCAATCTGGCAAATCCTTCATGAATTGATGAAACCGGCACAGCCAGTCTGTCGTATAATAGAAAATATAATTTATAATGTTTTGATAGGACCATCATCATTTAGACGTTATTTTTGTAGTAATAATAATGACATGATTAATTCATCATCATTTTCATTTACTTCAGTTGTATTTCTCATCATCATTATTGATTTTAACATATTTCTGTTCGCATAATCATTATGATCATCACCTTCATCAGATATCATCGTCATCAATTTTAACGTTATTTCTACATCATCATCATCCTTTTTTTGTTATATTCGTTATCCTCATTATTAATTTGAATGTTATTTCTCGTATCATAAGTATTGCTATTATCATTATTGCTCATAATAATAACAACTTCCTCCTCATCATCATCAATTTTAACGTCATTTCTGTTTTCATTATCATCGCCGTCAACGATTTTGAACGTTATTTCTGTTTTCATTATTCTAGCTATTGTTGTCCTTTTTATCATGATCATCATCATCATCATCGTCGTCGTCGTCGTCGTAATCATTCCTCTATTGTTATGATAACTCCCATTATTATTTTTTACCGCTACGACGAATTTGCAGACGAGTTGCTGTATTTTATTGTCTTGATTTCCGGACGCTGACCATTCACGCGGCCTCAACCGCTTCCGCCAACGTCTCGCAGGCAGCGGCCAGATCCAGCTGTGGCAGTTCCTGCTGGAGCTGCTCTCGGACAGCAGCAACGTGTCGTGCATCGCGTGGGAGGGCACCAACGGCGAGTTCAAGCTGATCGACCCGGACGAGGTGGCGCGGCGCTGGGGCGAGCGCAAGAGCAAGCCCAACATGAACTACGACAAGCTCAGTCGGGCGCTGCGCTACTATTACGACAAGAACATCATGACCAAAGTGCACGGCAAGCGCTACGCCTACAAGTTCGACTTCCACGGCCTGGCGCAAGTGTGCCAGCCCTCTTCCACCGAGCAGGCTCTCTACAAGTTCCAGGGCAACTTCTCGCCCATCCCCTTCTCGGGCATCTCCAAACTCAACCTGCATGTGGCGCCCGCCGTCGGCCCGTCTGGTTTCTCCTACTGGGCCGGCTCGCCGTCGGCCGCCGCCCTCTATCACCACCACCACCATCCCCATCACCACGGCGCCAACCTGCAGCCCCCCGGCCCCTTCGCCACCGTGTCGCCGAGCCACATCGGCTGCGGCGTGAACGGCATGAACACGCTGAGCAACATTAATAATCCCTACAATTGACTGACTGACGTCTTGGCGCAGGTGACGTCACGGAGAGGAAGGATCGCGCGTCGCAGTCGCTTCCGGGGTGCGAGCGTGACGTGTGCGGCGCTGGTTCACACGCGCACACAAAAATAAGCGATCTCTCCAAGAACCGCCAAGAGACCTGCGGTTGTGTCAAACATAACCCAATTATGGGGCAAGGGGGGGACCGACCGCTACTTGGGTCAATTTGAATGTTTTTGTGCAAAATTTAAAAAAGGTTGTTTTGGATAACATTTGTCAAATTGACCCAAGTGCTCTATATTTTTCTTTGACCGAGCAAATTTAAGGGTATATAACTGCGGTCTTTTGCCTCTTATTTAATTATTTTAAGTGACGTCTGTTATTGCCGACGTCACAATTTCAACAGGTCATCAGGTAAGTTGATCACCTCGCTCTTACTTCTAAATGACTGAACATTCCAAATACCGCAACATCAAAAATCGGCAACATTTCGTTGTTGGCAACTTTCCACCACGGATAAACCAAGCTACCAGTGCAGCCCTGGCTCGCTGTCAGTTTGCTTCCAGTGGACATTATAAGAACGTTTCATGCCGTGAGGGGGCGCGGCCTTGGTCTGGGATATTCAAATCTTGCTTGCAGCTTGGAAACAGTAGACTCCACTTTGAATTAACAGATAGAACAATCAGTTCCAAAATATAGGAATGAAAATGTAGATCCACCTTCAAAGTTCGGTAAAACTGAACAGTACTTAACGAATGTACTTTCTAGTAAAAAAATGAGTTGCCTCAAAAAATAGGAAGCACATTAGGGTTATGATTAAGGTGTCAAATCCCAAAATGTACTTTTTGTGCATTTCTGACCAGAAAAAAATAAAATAAAACATTGCTTTCCTTGTTGAGTGTTATGCCTGATTCATTTCTGACTTATTTTTGTGCGGGGAAAATTCTGAAATTGAGCGAGAAAATGCTAAACTCGGTTGGAAATGACTCTTTCGCGAGTCAAGCACTTCATGGCGTTCTCCAAATTCTGATCAATTTGTTCAGTGCTACACACGCTTGAGATAATAATTAGACGTGCCCTTTTAAATACTGTATTTAAACCAAATAAAAAAAAAACCTGAAAAAAGATGTGAATGGATTACACAAATATTAATTACTCGGGAAATTCCTGAAGGATTCACCCATCTCACCAGTGGGGATTGTTTGTTTGAAATAGACTATAAAGTGGTCTGGAAGGAAAATAAAATGTTATTTTTCTTGTTGTTTCATAAATGTATGTGCTTATTTTTCAGCGTCAATGAAATGCAACCGAAAGACGGCTCGACATTAGTAGAGCTTTGGCGCCATCATGCGGCCAATACTCGACAGCGAACGCCTCGCGTATTTCATCGTACAGGGGGTGCTCGATTTACGACGCAGTAACGTTCCCACTAAGGCTACGTCACTCGAATTTGTACTCAAACGTTTCTCGGCAACACATAATGACAAACACCAAGTATGGCTAAGAACTAAGCGTGCCGTCTTGAACTGCGTGGCCCTTCTTAACTTGAGAAACGTCGTACGTCTTGACAATGGAGGAACTCCTCGATGTTTACTGTATTGCCGTTTGGTCGTGTAAATAGTGCAAATGCAGTATAAAATAATATTGGAGTAATATTATAAATCAAATCATCTTTTTATTTTACTTTTACTTCACTTTTACTTTGACTTTTATTAGCATAAAAGTAGCATCAACAAGTTACTTCTCTCATTTTTCGTCATTACAAAACTATTTTTTGTGTGACAAAATAATGTTTTATTTATTTTTTGAACATTTTAAATATTTTTACATGTGTTACTCTTTTTCTTTTTCTTTTTTTTGCTTGCTCCACTGGCAAAGCATTGACGAGCATTTGCAATGACCACCTTGCAACCAGCTGGCGGCGCTGTCTCTTCATCACCAGAAATTGTCTTACGTAACAGGGTGCACACAGGATAGATATGCAGCCTCGATGCATTTGCAAATTACAGATTAACCCCAAAATGTCCGCAGTGCTCACGTGACACTTGCGGTATGATGATACAACACACACACACACACACACACACACACACACACACACACACACACACACACACACACACACACACACGCACACACACACACACACAATGAAACGACTCCAATGTCACTTCAAAGTAGTGCTTCCAGGTTGACTATAGCTTGAGTTAATAATAGCAAAATGATCCTTATTGCCAGGCTCCACCACGCATGCCGCTAATCTCACCTCAACTGTTGCTGCTAAGCAACTCTCCTCATCAGTAACCTTGCATAACACTTGGTGGGTGTTTTCCTTCCTGAGCCGCAGGAAGAAGAGTGTGAGCTCTCAAGGCAGGGAGACATAAGAAAACACAGCAGAAGAAATATGGAGGGGAAAAAAAAAATGACATTATCACTGACCTTTCCCTCAGAACAAAGTCTTTACGATTTTTCTGGCTGGCCAAAATTGGGCGGCCTGCTTTTGCACAAAATTGCAAACTATCATGGCAAGCCACTTCATGATCAGGTCGACAAAGCTCAGATTGCACCCCTTTGTGAAAAAAACTGTGAGTCCCAAGCACTGTGCCGTGAGAGCTCATCAAGGGTGCTTTGGGAAATGCATCTTTGGATGCCAACAACATACAGTGACAAGCAGAAGAGTTAAAAAAAAAAAAAAAAACAGTTCCATTTGATGGCAGCTGCCGCAATCAAGCTGTTACCATTCCAACGACAGAACACGTCATCAATGTCAGCTTTGTGTACAATTAAAAAGGCCCATATTTCACATGGAGTGTGTCACTTAGCGAATGAAGAAGATCATCATCCAAACTTTTTGTGACATTTTTGCTCGATTGTGTCCGTGAGATTTTTCTCATGAGGGATTGGTGTGTTGGGAGACACTGCCCTTATTGGCCAGATCAAGAAGTGTCCTCATGTGGTGAGATATTCTTAAAGTCACTTATAGGCCATCGTTTTGCATCATTGTTGAGAAAACTCTTCGGCCTACAAGTCGTTTGAAAATCAATCAGTTTGACTTTACCGCATGAATTCACACTATTGTGGCCTATAAAATAACATTTTAGGGAAAAGCTCAGCAAATCACCCCTACACTTTGCAAAAACGTGGTACAGCCCTCGTTGATTTAGCTACAAAAGGCTTTGCTTTGGCTCATTAACAGTTTGCCAGTTGGACCTGCAGTGGAAACTCAGCCCTTCCAAAAAAAAAGGGTCCCGGTAAGCTCTACGTAGCCATTCATTCATACCTTGATTTGTACCAACGGTGGCTTGACATGCCAGTGCTGATTACTGTATGATGTATGTATGTGAGGAAATACATTTCATCTGTGCTGTATGTTGCACATGGAGCACATTTGACAATAAAGTTGACTTTGAACTTGAACAAAGTGATTAATAGCTTCCAGAAACAAGCAGTTAGCAGTGCCCCACTTAGCACTGCTTGGCTTAGCACATTTGCACAGAGTCTTTCTTTGTCGGACTTTCTTTACAATTGCCCGGTTTGTCTTATTTTTGAAGTTGTTCGATAATGTGTCTTACGAGTCATTTTGCGTTTACACTCGTCAGTTGCCAAAGAAGCCAACAGTTAGCCTAGCCTCTTTGAAATGTTTATCTGTTGCACTTTCTTCTTTGTTTTCTGTCAGTTTGGATTCCTATTTGGGGCCATGCTGCCTCTCACTGGCGGGCTTTGGTACTACGACACATTTGTCTTCAATTGTATTTTTCCGCCGTCTCTGTTGGTGATTAAAAATAGCAGTGCTTCCCCCATAGTCCATTTATGAGATAACCTGTCATAAAATGTACATGTTTAAATCTTTCCATGCCAGACATAAAAAAAGAGAAATTCTTTGGTACCAGCTACTAGAGAGCATTAGGACTGATCTCAAAGAGGAATACATGCTGGCCTACAATGCGGCGTGAGCACGCAATGACTCACTTCTGACCTTGATCTTTCAATTGTCATTTTTCCATTCACATTTTCGCCCAGTGACTGATTACTGATTGTGATTCACATATTACGTGAAAGGGAAACCAGGTCTCTGTGTGCCAGCGTCAAATGGACTCGGATGCTCTGTGGGCTTTGTGTCAAGTTAACTCTGCAGTCAATGAGTCACTCGCCCATCTGGAGAGAATGCTAACTAATTAGAACCGCACACCGAGACGCTACTGAAATAGACTTGTGAACACGAGGGAGTGAGATGGAGAGTTTGCGAGAGAGAGAAAAGAGCGCGAGAAAAACCCTCAAGTGATAAAACAAAGAAGAGTATGCTTGTACATCTGGGCCAAGCTCCAGGCTAGGGAAGACACATTTTGGTGCAGTACGAGAGCAAATGTAGCAAGTGTCCCAAATGGGATGAATATGAAAGCCTCTGACTTGCTGAACAAAATCCATGGCCGGATTTAGGCTCTTACACAACAATCAGTGAATGAATCGGGATGCAGATTGATGCGCTGCGAAATGATTCATCGGTGAATTAAAGGAAAAGGACACCAAAGGACACTTTGTAGGCGTGCGGCTGAATAAAAGAAATTGTTGCGTAACATCTATGTCTCGATTCAAATGAGTCGGACGTTGTATCGTGCACAATGTGGCAGTCGACGAAAAAAATTTCAGAGTGAAATATAAACGAAGTTGCTCGGATAAGTCTCCGTTCGTCTCAGTGCTCTCAAACAAACGGGTCAACACCGCGGTAATCGTGTTGAAGAGCTTAGCGGGCAAGACGGCAAAATAGAAATAATCCCATTGAGGTGTCCGCTTACTTTGTTTACGTTTGTTGTTTATTTTTTGTGACGTGGGACATTTAGCCTCACAGGAATTGGACATATAAATACCGAGCATGCGGCTTTTCCTTCCTTTAATATCTCCCCCGTGAACGTCACAATCACTTCCTTGTTTTTGCTGATTTTGCTACCAAAATTGTGTGTGTCCTTAAATACACACTGGAAACACATTCCAAAATGTGTGTTTTCACTTTCAGTTATATGGAGAGTAAATGTCCATCTATTTTTTTTTTTTTCTTCTCGAAGTATTGGTAGCGGTGAAAATGATACTAGTGGTAGTACATTTGGTAGCGTGAATTGTAATACACTGTAAAAAAAGAAAATAAAAAACAAATGGAGTGAACTTTGTGTTGTGGTTTTTACAGTGCAGGTAGCAATGGAAGGAAAGGTGGTCGTGGGACAAGTGGAGTCGTAGTACTGGAGGCTACTAGTACTGTAGTGGTAGTCATAGTGGTGGCTGTAGTGCTAGTGGTGCTGGTGGAAGTAGTAGTAGTGACAGCAGTAGTGCTAAGAGTAGTGGTAGTGGATTTAGTAGTGGTTGTGGTGGTGGTCGTAGTTGTATTAGTAGTTGGGGTGGTGCTCGGGCTGAGCAAATAAATGAATGAATTGTTCGGCTAAGTGGTGGTAATAGTCGTACTGGTGGTTGAACAAATGGTGGGAGTAGTGGAAGAAAATGGCATCAGTGATATAGTCGGAGTGATAATTAGGGCCGGCTGATTTTATTGGTTGATACTAGCCCTTTACAAATTGAAAATGTAATGGTTTTTTTTTGCCCCTTATTTTTGGCGCGGCTCGGGGTTGCGCACAGGACCAACTTGCTCTCGGCTCTGAGCTGCTCACACTTTGTCCGGCTCTCATTCACATCTCGCCGTTGCTATAGAGACGCAGCAGAATGAGAAGAAGAATGCAGCGAGTGAGCGGGCGGGCGGACGGGCAGACAGACAGACCGTCAGACACCGACCAGGGTTGAATGCTAATAGTGGAGTCAGCCTCTTACATAAGAGTGCTGCAGGATCTGCAATGAAGTCACAGAACCAAGGCGAGAACTGGCAGCCTTCAAGAAATATTCACCACACGCAGTCACATCCCGGATTCAGAGATTGCAGAATTTCTATGAAAGGGACACTGAGAAACTGGAACATTTCCTTGTTCTACTTTCTCTTTTTTTTTTTTTGGTCGTCGCGGCTTCCATTTTGCTCTGTAAATAGAAACCACAGGTCCCCGTGAACAGAAAATGTGTGAGAGAAAGAGGGAGTGAGTGAGAGTTTTGAGACTGCAGCAGAATGTAGCCAATCAAATGAAGGAAGTCTCCGGGCCGGCCCACACGGACGAGATGGCTTCATTCAGACAAATCCTTTCACATGAGCAACTTCGGGACTGCCTCACATTCCTCTCACAGGATTTTGCGAATGAAACCGGTTTTCCTCACAGGCGAAATGCTCTCGCGACAACTGAAAGTCTCTCAGACGTAACAGAAATGCACACAAACACAACCGTAACGATCAAGTGACCCGAGCGGCATCCATTTTGAAGACTCAAAGTATAGATGCCGATGGTTGCCCGCCTTCGTATGTGTGCCCCGCAAGTGGACTCGCGACCAGTCCAGGGTGTACGCCGCCACAAAAAAACAAAAATGCGAGAGGCAGTCTTTGAAAGGATTTATTTCACCCTGGTCACCAAAAAACAATAACTGCACTGCATTGACTGTATAAACATGTCGCGCGAGATGCGGTTGACTACCGAGCGTGTATCACGCCGGCCAAGCTAACACGCGAATGAACACGTTTCCAGTCAGATTGGAAAATGTGCTGTACAAAATGCCGAGTTCACAGGTGCTCGTCCTTCATCCGTAGCTGCAAATGTAATAAATTAAGGGCAAACTATCCAGCGCCCCCCGGAGGAATATTTGGTACATGACCACGAATCGTGCGCAAAACATCCAACGTTTGTTCACGGCTGTGCAAAACGTAGCAGCACGACATTCCACTTGGAGCGATGGCGTCACAACACGACATCATACAAACCATGATGAGCATAATACACAACTAATGTTGCCTAGCTACTCTTTGTTGTCCACGTGTAGCGTCGCTTTCAGAGGCGTGTGATCATGTCGTTCAGAAACTGACACCGATGTGCAAATGACACAATAGTCAATACTCACATTCACTATTTACATATTGTCAGTCTGCAAAAAAAAAAAAAAAGCGAACATAAACGGAAAACATTCCTGCGTGTTTTCGTTGCGCTTGGCCCACAAAGAACGTAAAATATGAACGATGTAAACAATACCGTAGCAGGCAAAGACAATGAAACCGTTGGCACGTATGAGATTGTCCAAGTGATTTCTTGGAAAACAACAATAATACATTCCACCCAATACAGTGATGCCTTAAAATTTGACCTTAACAATTTTTTTCCAAATCCTTGAATGTTTTTTTTTTTGTGTGTGTCTCTGACTGCTTGAGATAACACGCAAAAATTTGACAGTGCTCTTCAAGCTGCCACCACTAGATGGAGACAGTAAAACTCACGACATTTGGACACCCAACAATTCAAGTTGATATCGTTGCAGTGGAGCGACAGTGCAGTTGGTGGCGCTAATGCACCAGTTTGCACTGGTTTGCCAACTGCGAATAAACCACACCGAAGAATGCTGACGGACGAAACATTCGAGCTGCAGCCGTGTTCTGTGCTGGCATCTTCCGCGTTTGCAGGTTAAAGGAAAGCAAATCTGGTGACCTTTACATTCATTTGGGTGCGGAAAGATGATTGTGAGATCAGAGTGCCGTCATGGTACAAATTAAACTTGTATCTCAAGGCACCACTGCAAAGACAATCAACCGCAATATAAAACCGACAGCTGGAATTTGGATGAAATCCTCCCCTTCAATAGCCATGCAAACAGTTTGGCTGTTTCACATCTTAAAATTGTATTTTAAAATCCAAAAGGAAATATCTATGTGTTTTGATCTCCAGGCAGGGACCCCCCGCCTCCCCGCAAAAAGCATTTTGTGCTAAAGTTTGGGTTGAAGTTCGCAATGACTGTATTGTGGCGATAAATACGATGGTGCCTTGAGATACAAGTAACCTGATTTACGATTTTTTTTTCAAGGTGTGAGCAGTCATTCGGCTATTTAAATAATTTTTTTTTGCTTTGACTTGCAAGTGGAAACGTGTCTGGTGTCAGTGAACTGAACTCACGTGCTTTCACCTAGTTTAATGCTAACACTTAATGGAAAAATATCACTGCAGACTGACGCTTGGCATCGACGGCCGCACTGCTATGACACTGTAAGCAACGGATGTTTGAACACCAATGGTGCAGCAACGCACGCAAATAGACAATATCACAATACACAAGGGCACATATTCTTTATCCTCTGCGAAAAATGACTGACAGCATCCACGTGACTCGCAGTGGTTTGGAGAAGATTTTTCATCATTTGTCTATGCAGCTGTGTCATGCTGCCCCTTGTGGCCAAGTTGTGGACACACTAGAAGGATACGCAATGAATTGGTCAGAATTGATGTTTTTTTAAAAATGGTTTTGTTATTTACAGGAAGCTGGAAGAGGTTAATTCTGTTTTTATTCAGAAAGATGATTTGAGACGCAATGATTTTGACTTAGGAGCGTTTTGACGGAACGAATTAAGCTTGTATCTCAAGGCACCACTCTAGCAGTGAATGTGTGTGGAGGGCGTGGGGGTGCAGAGGTCAGCACCTTGGAGAGCTCAGCCCGTGCGCTTAACAGCAATCATCTATTCTGGTCCTCGAGCACTCTGCGCCAGAAAGCCGTCTAATTATGAATAAAATTAGCATTTAGATGTGTTCATAATTTAACAAAAGAAAAAAGGGGGGGGGACAATGCACCATTGATGGCATGCATGAGTAGTTAATTCTCCTGCTGTCTAAACACACACTAATGCCGCATTCGCGATATCCAGCCTTTCGGATTGGCCGTTACATTCAAAGCCGCCCTTCTGTGATTTTTTTTCCCCCTATTTTCGTATTTGCGTCGGCCTGCACGAGCGTCAGCGGTCCAGGTTGGCCTCGCCGCAGTCCCGCTGGCTCTTGAGCTCCTGGAAGACCTCGGTGAAAAAGTGCGGGTCCGCGTTGAGCCGCAGCATTTTGCCGCTGAGCCGCTCGATGATGCCCAGCGAGGTCTCCCAGAACACGTCCTTGTTGGCCTCGATCATGAAGGGCTTGAGCGGGTAGGAGATCTCGTTGCCCATGTAGGAGTAGGCCAGGTACAAGCAGGTCTGGAAGGCGCCCTGCAGCTCGGCCGCGCTGGCCACCCTCTCGTCCAGGGTGGCCTCGCACAGCAGGTAGACGAAGACCACGTTGGCCGGCGTGATGAAGCCTTGGTCCTGCCAGCCTTGCAGCAGCAGAGTCCGGTCGATGTTGCGGAACCACAGGATCACCTCGCCGCTGTTTAACTCCTTCAGCTTGTAGCAGCGGCGGCACACGAAGTCGCCCAAGCAGCGCAGCAGCTCCCCGGTGGAAGCCTGGATCACGATCCGCCGCGGGGACACCGCGGACGGGCTGCTGCTGCCTTGCTTCTGCACCGCAGGCGGCTTGTTGTTGTGGTTCTGAGTGGGCACCGTGGGTACCGGCACCGGGATGGGGGCTCGCTGCTTACGCTCCTCGATTTGATGGCTCTTCCGGATGTTGTCGCTGTTGCGCTGGGCCACCTGAGCGCACGGCGGGTTCGGGTTGGGGGTCACCTTCTTGGCGCTCTTCTTAGCCGAGCTGGCCACGAGCTTCTTCCACGACAGCGACACGAACATGGAGGGCCGCTTGAGGCTCTTGTCGCCTTTGTCGTCGACGGCGTCGATCGCCTTCTTGGTGGCGGGGGAGATGGAGAGCACGGTGCCCATCGCTGCGGAGGAGAGAGCCGCGGTGGTGACGGCGAGGGATGTTTCCGCTGCGGCGTGTGGGGGGGGGGAGGTGCTGCTGCTGCTGCTGCTGCGGCTGGTGGCGTTTACAATCGCGGAGAGGCTGCGTGGAAGAGTCACGACGACGTGATGGAATCCATGAACACACTCGACGTCGGTTCCGAAGCGACGGATAGCCCGCTTGAGAACGAAGACTGCATCCGATGCGCGCGCACACCGCGATTAGGCTCCTGTTCGCACGCACCCGGCTCTCGCAGCCTCTTGATTGACGTGGCGGGCAGCCAATCGGAGAGCCTCCTGACTGATCCAATCAGCCGGTGCACTCAAGTGCAGCGACTGCTAGCCTACATCGGCGTGACCTGCACTCGTTTAGCTCCTGTTCTATTTTTGCCTTGAGACTCATTACCTGACTATTTGGGGCCCCCCTTTCCCATAACAGGACGACTAAAGAAGGATAATGATGCATACAAACACACCGGTTAAATTGCCTGGAGTAAATAAACAAATAAAACAGTGATGACTATACACTTTGGGGGAAAAAAATAAAGGTGCTTTGGAGTCTTTATGTTGCACTACTACTGTGGTTCATTCCTGTTAATTTCTCTCTTATTTTTGAAAAGTTGGCTAATTGATGGTTCTCGACCCACTAATAAATAGTACCCAGTGACCAATGGCCAGTGACTTCATTCGGTGCGCATAAGTGCTGAAAGCACAAACCAAAAGGCTTTTCGAAACCGAACAGCTGCAAACATTCCAATGCAAAGCAAAGAGAACTAAAGTAGCTTATTAAAATGACAAAAAGAATTCACGCGGACAACATTTAAACACTTGTGCCAATAAAAGATTTAAAGGCATTTAAAAGCAAAGGAACATTTTTAAAATTGCAGTGCTAATCGATGGCATAGCGAAATTGATTTAAGAAATGCTTAAATAACCTTCATCAAAAAATGTTAAAAAGAAAGGAAAAAAAAAGCAACCTTTCAAACCCGGATTTAAAAGCATTCATACTTTGAGACGACTTCACTTCTGCTGGCAACTTATCCCATTTGTGTGCAGCACAACAGCTCAATATCACTTCACCATGTTTGCTTTAAAACTTGGTCTCCACTCAGTGAGTTTGGAGACCTCTGAGCCCGACTGAGTTTATATTCACTTAGCATTTCCTGTAATGTATTCAGGACACAAACCATTCAGTGATTTGGTTACCAGTAACAGATTCTTAAAAAACAAAAACAAAAAAAAAAAACAATTCTACTGCAGCGGAGTAGTATGCAGTTGTCCCTATTTTTAATTCTGACCACGTTAATTGTTTTCTGTAATTCTCTCAGGGCATGCCTTTCAGTCGAAATCTTGAATGGTTCCCTCCAATCGGGATTCCGTGTAGCCGGCCGTCTTTAATCCGACATGCAGATTACAGTCCGAGTGGATGCGTGTCTCAGGGAATTCCATGGCCGATCCAATTAGTTTGGGAAGAACTGCCACCTCGCTGCCGACTTACGTAGGCCACTGAATGACACTTTCCATTCAGATAAACTGAAAATAGACACAACGGCTAAAGCGGAGTTCCATTTGCGTTCATGAACAAATCAAACGAGCCGTGCGAGGGAAGGGGTGGATGAAGACAAAATTCTATGCAGTCAAAACAGCGGTGACCAGATGATAATAAAATCATTTTGAGGAGCTATATTCTTTTTTTTTGACTCATCATATTGAACATTTTACACGAGTTCCTGATATGTAAGATGATTTCAATGGAATACGTTTCCACTGACATCACGACCATCATGTTGTCTTTCTTCGGTGGAGGCTGAAATTGTAGTTAATTGCATGCATTTTTATTTTGTATTTTTGTTATTGTCATCGAGAATGCTGTTAAGAATAAAATGTCCACTCTGTCAAAAATCAATGTCAGTGGATATTAAAAAAATAAATACATTAAAAAAAATCTGATTTTCAAATGTTAAGTGAACGTCCAGCATGTGGTCATGAAATGCTAACGTGACTCCAAAAAATGTCCACCCTGTCATTGTTCACCTCGTCTGCAAGCTCACACATTTTGCTGTTTGCATGTGGGAGCTTGACCAATCTGCATTTCCAACAGCATCATAATGACTTACTCCCAATGAATGTGAAGTCCAATGGAAGTTCTCAACTTTTTTGAGCGAGCAGAGCAAGTTTCAAGGGCACATTTCTGGTGACGCATACCGTCTACGCGTTTGGCATGCACGCGAGGAAGCCGAAGTGACATCTGTATGCCTTTTTATTTCGTTGTGACATCATTTGATCTCGAACTGTCCAATGAAGTCAAAAGTCAGATCGAAGATGTTTGCGGAGAAAAGGTGGTAGGATGTGTTCTTACAGATGTTCAAAACTTCCCTCCTGCATTTTGCCTTCACTTTTGGAACAAGCGTCGTCCACTTGAGTTGGGACACCAAAGCCAAATGAGAAGCGCGTTCCCCGAGCTTGCCGTTTGTTCCGCACCGGAGTTCGGATGTTAAAAGTCAGACTCTTTGGTGCAGATGGTGAAGCCACGTCCATATTTGTGACCTATAAGTGGATGCAATCACCCTCCATCTGGATATTGATACGTTCTTATTCAGGTGGGAAAACAGGGCTACTTTCTTCACCTTTGACTTCACGTTGGACGAAAACCGCTTGGGGTCGTATATCAATTCAATCTGCTTGACTTTGGACATGGTCGAAAGGTTGTCGACTTTGTTCTTGACATTGGAGGCAAAGTGCCTCGGTTTGAATGCGTCCCACAGGCTGTACATTGGAGCCAGCGTCTTTGGATCGCACGTTTATGAAGTGAGCTTCCTGCACTTTGGATATTCATGCAAATGCCATCAATTTGGCTTCTGGCGCCGATTTAATGAATTGATAAATCAAGCTCTCTAAAAATGCTTTTCAAGGCTTTCTGTCAAAGCTCAGCTTGTTTGGGCCAGTCGGTGACATCACGGCTGCATAGTCGGTGACATCATTACCAGTTTGAATACTGGACTCTAATGGTCATTTAAACTTAGTAACAAACAGTGATGAGCGGAGTCGTCAAAAATAGGGCTCAAGTAAGAGGGTTGTTACTTGAGAATAATATGACTCAAGTCAAAGGAAAAAGTAGTGCTCGAAAAAATCAAGTATTCAGTGAAAAAAAAGACTCCACTACTGTGTAATTGGTGAGTCATTTCTTATTTCTGTAATCGAAGAATGGATAAAATATGAAATTCAACTTCAGGTGTGCAATATCAGGTTAAAAATTTATGAATTTATGAAATGGCACAAATCAAGGCAAATTCAGCTACGAGCCCTGTAAAGTAAAAAAAAAAACCCGAAACAAAACGGAACAATACGCTCACTAATCAAAGTGACCTCGGACTCGCAATGCAAACCCAGAAAACGGATGAGCCGTGACATTCGCAATGCGAGCCTGAAGGCACTTTGATGTCAATATCTGCTGTCAAAAAATGGAGGAATCACACAAAACGGCTGCGTTCAAATTCACAGGGTCAGTCGTCCGAAGCCCGCGTTTCCGTCCGCATGGCATCACTTCCGGCGCGACTCGAACGCCCGAGGTGTCCAAATTCACCCCGGTTTATGCAGTCCGCAGAGGCTGCATGAGAACGAGCCTTTGAAGGTGTCAAAAGCCCCAGCCTGCGAATTATCTCTCGATTTTGGAAACCATGTGCGATTGAGTCGTGCCTGAAGTGATGTCATGTGGGCTAAAAAGCTGCCTTCGAAGGATGCAGCATGTGAATTGGATGAAAACAGATTAAAGTCTGCGCAGCGCTTTTCGTACGACTCAAAGATACTTGGGACAGCTCGCAAACTGAGCTAATCATCATCTCTGAGCACCCTTTTTAAATAAAATAGAAGCAATTAAACACCTTTAGGGAGTGTAAAAGGCAAAAGCAGAAGATGGCCCATAAATTCACACAAGACTGTTTGATTGGGCCACACGTGTGTGTTTCCCGATCAATCACACACACACACACACACACACACCAACCCGGGAACAGAGGAGAGACGAGTCTTTCATCGCAGTCAAACAAAAGACGACAGGGATGTGACCGCGCCTAATGTAGCACGGAATTGAAGTATCAAGGTGGCCTATTGAAACAGCAGATTTCAAAAGGTGGAGAGTAAGTATGATGTCATTCACGCTTATTTGTTCATTGGGAAATGGTAACAAACGTTTTAGGAAGCTTGGGGTAGAACAATCAGTCCAGAACCCATTTTTTGTCTGATTCAACTTGCCAGCACATGAGAGGTAATCACGAAATCTAAGTCACACTTCCAAATATATTTCATATCGTTTCATCTTGATTTTGTTTCAATTAGTTTTTCGAAAATAACCCAACAACGGGGAAGAGAAACAGATGGCGTAAGAGGGTGCAATGTCTAACTCCGACCAGCAGAGGTCAGTGTTTCCTACCTTATGAGCGGCTTCAAAGGAGCGCCTCGCATTTTCAAAGCGGAGAGCAATTAACGATGTAAACAAATGAGGTTTTTGCGTGTGTTTGACAGATAAAACAAGAGACTGAGACAAATCCCTTGCGTGGCACACAACACAAACGAAAGTGGAGCAGGAAAAGGTCGACTCTAATTAGCTGTTGTCGCGTCGCCGACATTTCTGCCATGTTTGAGGGAGTCCACATGCTCATGGATGATCACCATGAAATGTGCACCATGAGACCGAGTGATCAGTGCCAGAGAGCAAATCGCCATAAATATTCAGCAAAAGAAAAATGAACCTTTCCAAGATGTCCTGTAACGGGGCAATCGCATCCCTTCGATACAAATTGAAAAATGGATGCATGCAGTTCAGGTCAGCACATGCTGACAAGCCAGTCTTAGCGTCCACATGATCATGTCTGCATTATCCGCACGCTTTGCTGACTGAGCTGAATGGAAATGGAACGATGATCATTTTTAGCTGTGGTGTGCATTTCTCCACTCTGCTCTGTATGCTATCCTGGAGGCTATTGAGCAGCAGCTTTCGCGTTCCGGCTTTGCTGCAGCAAGTCTGCCTCTCAGTGGCGTTTCATTGGTTGCTCATGTTGACTGAGGAATGAAGGAATTTTTACATCTCTTGTATCTTTGGCCAGGTGTTATTAGTTCATACTCACTGTTTGGTAATATATGTAATCTCCCATGAATAATACTAGAATAATCCTCCTTTCATCATATAACCCCTGCACCCCCAAAATCATCCTCATAAAGATTTTTTCCCCCTAGTCATGAGGTAACAAAGAGCCTGAAAATAGTAACATGAATAAATTGTTTGTATCAAATAATAATTCATCAATCAATCAATCGTACACTTACTCTTGAAATATGCAGTTAATATATATATAAAAAAAGTGTGGCAGAGTCTAAAATACTGCATCCATGTGAAAAAAAAAAATTATCAAAATTTTCTCCTTAAGGGTAGCCACAGAGTGTCAAAGGGTGGCCTTGGCCACCCCTGTAGCTCCGCCCCTGATCAGAAGTCAATTTCAGAAATATTGACGCACACAAAGCAACAGCACAAAACAGGACACAGTGTGAAAAGACGCCCACCTGTTGCTTCCAATTACCGTACTTTATTGGCCGGACAGCACAGGACAAAAGTGGCCTGAAAACAAAGGGAGGGCTTCAAATGGATTCACTTGAAGAGTCAG